TAGTTGCATAAATACGTCTAACCCTTTGGGGAATAACAAAACGGTTGTTTATGTTTAATTAACGTTTGGCCATTAAGCTACCTTATTTATTCACCATTTAATTAATACTAGATATCAGATAATGCATGTAATCATGCGGTTGTGTGTAAACAGATATCTGTGTACCCATCAAGCTATAGTTAACCAATTTATCATGATCTCGTTTTATAAGATTTTCTCAATATTCAGAGGTCAGTTTATATTGGTTTTGCATAGCTTGATATGTCTACTTAGTGTTTATGAATAGGTAGTTTAGTTAATTGCTTTATCTCATTCATTGCCGTTTCGGTTAATTAGAAACGACTCGTTAGTATTTATCTAGAAGATTGTTGTGTTAGATTAATTTGTTTATGAATGATCATTGTTGACTTTAAACTGTTGAGAATCAAAGTCAAATAATCATTTAGGTTTAAAATACTGCAGAAGTGGCGTTTTACTATCTTTTTGTTTGATTGACTGCTTCGTTGGCCGGGCAAGAGGTCTTGGGTTCGATTCCAGGGTCGTGCAAAGTATTACTGGGTTTAAAAAAAAGTCTCAGTAGTAGCACGGAGTCTGGAATTGTACCCGGTATATGGCAATAGGCTCACCCCCTATTACATGAGGCTCATAACATAAATAGTGAAACGTGGGTGTTACATTGTATAGTGGCATAATGTGCACCTATGCCTACTCCTTCGGGGATAAAAGGCGTGATGTTGTGTTATGTTTGTTTGATTGAATGAGACTGAGAATTGGGAATGTCATGAATTCATGATATATCCACTGCTGAATATACATACATATGTATAAATTATGACATCGAAATAGGCTAGATTGAGCTTTTTCAGTGACCTAGATCGGCTCTAAGAGTATTGCAATAATAATCTGTGTTTAAAAATCAGGTTATTATAATAACTGCCTACCTCCTTAGAGAATAACAGGTACAAAGATTGTCACGTTTCCCACATCTGTCATCGTCTCGATATTCACGCCCTTTTCTGCTGTAATAAATCATATTCAGCCTGATCCACTTTTTCCTTGAACATTCATCTTATGGATTTCATGCAATATATGCGATGTACGTTTTTGGATCAGTTTAAGAAGAATCGAAGATATATCTAACAGAAAGGCAGAGTTTCTGTGTTGGATCTTGCATAGAAAATTGAACACTAATAATTCATCATCTAATCATCAGCCATAAGAGATTTTATTAAATTATCATCGTCAACAGCCTGTTCTCGTCTTCTGCAGGACATCGGCTACTTCAATGGCACGCCACTGATCTCGACCTTCACCTCTACGCAACAACCATTAGCAGAATTTTGCGGATATCGCCACTCCATCTAGCTGGAGAGCGCCCTACACCTGTTTAAGTGTAGGAGAGCCATGCTTCGGCACAAATGGGCCGGCTTGACCGGAGTGATACACAGCCTACAGCCACAGACACGTCCTCACAGAAAACCGACGTGAAACAACGCTTGCGTTGTGTTTCGTCGTGTGAGTGAGGTTACCGGAGGCCCAATTACCCCCCTCCTTATTCCCCCCCTCCCGAATCCCCGAATCCTCCACAATCCTCAAATTCCCAATCCCCAAAAGGCCGGTAACGCACTTGTAACGCTTTGGTGTTTCGTGTGTCCTTGGGTGGCGCCGATTGCTTACCATCAGGGGATCCGCATGCTCGTTTACCGGCTTATGCTATAAAAAAATACACTACGTTTGCCTAGACACGGTCTCCGCTCTAGAACATAAATTAGATGAAAAAATTAAATGTTCCTTCAGAAAATACATGTTATTAAATGTGATGATTCTCGTTACTATAACCAAAAATGCCGTAATGTCATTATACGCTAAACTTCCGTATGTCTGCCCGGAATTAAATCAAAAAAAATTTTACCATAGTGTGTAAAGACGTAACCTTGTTAGCGATGATCACGACCCGTGAATTTAAACAAAGATGGCCTTGAAATAAAGATAAATAAAAAAGAAATTGAACATCGTCACTCAATGTTTGTCTAACGGCCGTACTCAGAATCATTTCTTATGTCGGAATACTCAAACGCTACTCAATTTTAAGTCGCGCTTAAGTATAGTTCTGTCTCCACTAATTCTTTGTAAAATGCCAGAGATGGCACGATATTTAAGCACGACTTAAAATTGAGTAACGTTTCAGTATTCCGGCATTAGTTACTTACACATTGGATGCCGTGTCGGATAATGATGCCCGACGCTAGCGGAGGATTCCATTTTGACAGTTTTTGTCGATAGTTTAAGGGTTAATCTACATACTTCTCTTCTTAGCAATTGTTTTCGGAAGAATAATGTAATTATTACATGTCTGAGTATTTTTATTCTATTTTATATTTATAAAAACGTTACAAACTAGGAAAGGCATATAACAAAAAAGACGAAGCTTTAATTAATTTCTATACAATTTGGTGCTTTTCTTAATCAAAAACAAATTATTTTGACTGTTCAATACAATAAAATATTAAAAAATAATCACACTTTCATTTATTTATTTTGTGACCAAATTAATTTTAGTATTATGCCAGCAAATTTTTAAAAATTTAGTGCTTATGCTGTTTGATGCTAAAAATCACGACGTTACAATACACAAATTCTCGTATAAAGTTCATAGAAAACTGTCGTTTTTGACAGTTCGTAAAAAGTATTGAATTTGGCATGTACCCAATTGACTATACTTATAACCGAATAATGAAAGGCTACTCAATTTTAAGTTGTACTTAAATATCGTGCTATCTCTGTCATCGATCGAGACTTAAACGCGACTTAAACTCGAGTAGCGTTTGTGTATTAAGACATCAAACATACTAATTTTCATTTAAAAACCACCTTATCATTAATCTTGTATCTTATTATGTTTTCGGCTTACTCACGTAATTATTTGACGAAGAACTCGAATAGTCGCGGGTCGCGGAATGCTGCTCATGAATATGAGCCTCTAGCATGGCTTGAAACTAGTCGAGTTCCCCGTCAAATAATTACGTGAGTAAGCCTCATAGTAAGTAACATAATAATTTTTAAAGTTATAATACAAGTCTTGTACCCATAAATGAATAGAAAAACGTTAGAGAACTTAACCATTGAAGAAAACTAACCTTTGTTTATGAACCGCCATTTGCTTCTTGACCAACAAAGTAAATAAAATTCAAAACAGAGTTTCCAAACCAAAACGATGCGAAATATAAACACACAATTCTTAGCAGATGTTATTGTCTTTTGAACTTTAAACAGAAGTTTGTTATTTTGATATTTTCTCATTCGATACTAATACCCCCGACCTCCTCTCCAAGTACTGTGAAACTTTGGTTTTGATTCTAATACTTGGAGTGTAGTTTGTTCCATTGCTGTTTTTCTTTTCTTGTATAGTTATGAAGCTTTATATTGTTTTTTAGTTTAAGTGTTTTTTGATACATACGTAGGATACAATATTAGTTTAAGACCCTTGAACCCCGGATGAAATGATGATGATGATGCTGAGTCTGTTAAAAATGGGTAAACGGGATATAAATAAATGTTTTTCTTTTTACAGTCGACTATCCAGTTCAATCTAGTCGATAACAAGTGCGATTTCCGTGCGTTCTAACTCTCTGTGAATTGATATTTAGTTTTTGATTGCGAAATTTTCTATACAACTAAGGAGCTCGGCCATAACTTCATCAACTACATGTATTATAATATCATAGCTAATGACAAGGAATGTTCTCATAGTACATATCGTTTTTAGGAATTACAGCCAGTTGAAAACAAACTGTATCCAAATATTTTTAGGATTCAAAATCAGTCTAGCAGCTTATAATGTGCTTAGAAAACTCAAGTTCGTATTAAACCAACTACAAAGATGGATGGATCACTCGGTCCGTCCAAAGGCCATTGTACTAACGTACTAAGCAAAACTTGTTTCAGCGTACGCGCACTGATAGCTACGACTAGATGTTTTATGTGATAAATTGCAAAAAAACACTCTTTCAATACTTTTTGTACCATTGTCCTATGATATAAAGAAGTTCCATTTGACGCAAACTTGTCTGAGCTTTTGTTTATAAAACGCACTACAGTACTACTGCTGTAGATACAAGTGTTTTTATGCCCATGTGTATTTACAATAAAATATTGTAATAATTTATCATTAATGGTTAAGAGCATGTCTCACACTCAACCCTTGCCATGTGTACGGCAAGAGATTGATTAGTTAAAAAATATTTGAGAATATGATTGCTCGAAAGGCATCGATTAGTATGATCTGTATTCACAATCAAAAGATACGCAAACAACACTTCTGTACAAATATTTTTTGGCTCCAGAACCGCGCCTTGCGGTAGCCCCGTTATGTGTAATCGTGATGTAAAAAAACTCGTAAAACTATCGATTATAGTCTATACGTCCTTAATGATACGTTAACGAATTTTTTGGTAAAAGCCAAGTAGGTGAAATTTTAAATTAACCGTTTCTCGAGTGATGTCGTCTGTATCGATATTTTTTATCGAGTCCGTCGAAAGAGGTTTCTTTGCAAAAAAAGAAAATGTTAATGATATGTCATTGTTGACGATTTTACGGTTTCCATTGTTAGATTGTGTTCCGCAGGTTTTATTGAGGTTGTGGGACTAATCTAACTGCCATGTCCATACTTTCATGGAATTTCTGGTAGCACCTATTTTCATGATGACCTCAATAGCAAAATATTAAGAATTCTGGCAAAGATGTCGAATATTTATAGTTTCCGAATTGTTTTTCTAATTTACTAGTTGGCTTGCTTCACTAGTCAAAGCTTGAACTGAAGTCTATTACTAGATACAAACACGTACCTTTCTATAGGCCATAAAATACCAAACAGAATAAAACTTGTGTCAGATTGCCATAATCACGTTTTATCACGTGAAAACAACAAAATTTTTCCAGATTTTTTTTAAAAACCATGAATGTTGCATATATCTCACAATTGTTTTTCTTTCTTCTCCCAGGTCGGGTCAGGCCGTTGCAGTTCCCCAGGCACGGGACCTCTATCACCAGCTGATGGTCCTCGATGGCCACACGTGCACCATCCCCATCCCCTGCACCACGCACTCCTGTCATCCAGCGTCAAACGAGGGAAGGAGCTGTGAGTACCTGGAACGAATTCCACCTTGATTCCATTAGCACAGACGGCAAGTCCCCTAACTCCAATCTACCAGATTGATTTTGATAAGTATTTCTAAAAGCGTAAAGTTGAAAGTGTATTAAATCAGTTGGATAGATTTGAGCTGGTTGATGTGCTAGCGTCTGCACGTGAGGATGGTCATAAAAGGACGATGATGATGTAGGTAGGATAAAAACAAAATAATCAAGTGAAGTCTTCTTTGATAAAATGTACTGTAGTTTTATGTATTTTGAAATGTCTTTATACATATGTATACAGTAAACAGATGAATTCACAGAATAAAGCTAGTAAAGATTGTACGACTGGATCACGTGATTTACTGTCATCGTAATTATTTTTTGCTACTACTATTATGATAGTGTTTTTTTCTACTGTCTCTATTTTTTTTGTAACGATAATGAAACTCCTTCGCAACATGACAATGAAGAAAGAAATTTTTCTTTGTATCTATATTATCTATACTGTTATGTGTTACTTTTCTTTGTGTATTTTCTCTTTTTCTGTAAAATATTCTGTTTCATGTACGGCGACATTGGACAAGCTTCTGACCCAGGTTAAATCTAGATAGGATCACTAGGACCTAGATGCCCATTCTACCCCATTTCAATATTTACGCAAATTTTTGTTCTTCATTTAAAATTTTCAGTTAGGCTTGTAGAGAAATATTCAAAAGCCATTTCTTTGCATGAAACCGAATCAAATTTTTCATTAGATTTTTTTATAAAACGTATATTTAACATTCTTAGAATTCACTTAGATACTATAATTTATGCGGTTATCAAAAACTCAATTTCAGGTATGTCTAGTCTTCAACACGTTTCTAGGTATTCATGATAATCGTCTCTCGTCTCATACATTTTTATTCTTTAGTCTCTTTGCATTTGCATCACAAAGACTATCTTCAGTGTTTCAGGCTTTCAGGGCAAAGCTTTCATGAATTTGTTACTTTTAAAAACATTTTAGGTCGTATTTTGAGGTGATTTAGGTTGAAAGAATTATAGTGTGAAAAGACAGGATCTGTCGGAACAAAATTACTGATTTTAAAAATTAACAAACGAATCCACCACATACCTCAAATTCCCAATTCCCAAAGGCCGGTAACGCACTTGTAACGTCTCTGGTGTTTCAGGTGTCTATGGGCGTCGCTTTGATTGCTTACCATCAGGTGATCTGTCTGCTAGTTTACCGGCTTATACCATTAAAAAAAACTAAAATTTTAGCCCTACCAGAGTAGTTTTATTTGTTTGATCATATTTATTTATTAATAAATACAAACCTATGTCTGTCGTTTATTTCAATTAGTTAAACGTTTTAAGAGATTTATATATTGCTGTTTTATATGAGTGTTACCTACCAAATTTATTTTTTTGATATTGGAAATGGGTGCCTTATGACCGCTATCTTGCTTAGGGTAAGCGATGATGCGGCCTACAATGGAGCACCCTGCCCATAAGCGACCTATTCACTCGAGCCTTGAAGATACCCAGTGCCTTTAGCCAAACGCCACTTTAGCGTTTGTCTACAGAGAGAGTAGAAATCAAATGTATGGGGATGACACTGACAAGCGTCAAAATTTACGTCAATTTCATATAATTTGGTTTTCTATTCTACATGTAGACAAGCGCTAAATGGCATTTGGCTACAGCTGCCGGTTACACAGCCATCATCACCTCAAAATATACCCCACATTTAAAAATGTGTACAATTTCTCTTCTGAAGATGGTCTTTCGTCATGATATTAAAACAAATGGTTAGCAGAGTTGTCTAATGTCTCTATTGTATTGCCTACATGTCTAACCGAATTAGAACTAAGGATATGTAAGTATATATGTATGTACTGTACATATTCCTGTATATATAAATTGTCATCATTTGTTGAAACATCATCCATTGAAGTCATTATTGTGTATTATAACTATCTTGAGACATATTAAATTAATAAAGTTGTTCGGCTTATTCTCGTAACTGTTCGACGCGGTGGCTCGACTAATTTCGAGATACAACAGGGGCCCATAATCTAAAATGATTGTGTACATTTCTATTTTTCGAAATTTTCTCAGTAATAGCACGATGTTAGAAATTGTATCCAGTGTATGACAAAGCGTGGTGATTAATGCTCAAACCTTTTCCGTGTGAGTAGACCTCGGTAGTGGCCACTTATAGGCTGTTGATGTATAGCAATAGGCTCATGGTATAAAGTGGGTGTTACATTATATATGTAAGCTACTAATTAGTCTTTCAGCGATTATACGACTTGGCATTTTCTTATATAATCATGTATCTGAAATTATAGTTTAATTTTGCTGGACGGCTCATTTCAAATATTCCTCCTACGCAAAAACATTGTGTAATATTCAGTACCTATAGTTACAGAAACCGACATAATTATTGCTATAATTAACTCGCAATTAATTGAACCGCACAACATTGGGAATTAAATTAATTACTATCTCTGTTTGGGAGACGATAATTAAGTTTCTGTTGCCAATGTTTTGTTAGGTAATTTAATCGTCAGGTCACGTACGTAGCCATTTCTATTAGGGATGCTTGCGATACTAAGTTTTAGGGCAAAAAGCATTCTATTACAACACTTTGATAGTCTGCCTAAATTTGCCTAGAGTTTGAAGACTTTGCTCATCATAATGTCAATCAACTGGTGGTTTATAATGTCACTATGAAGCTGTAATTTCGACATTAGACTTATGGCCGTTTACTTATCACTCCTATACCATCTCTTAACTAAGATATCCTTAGCGTGAGCGAGTATCTAAAATTACCCCTAAACTGTACTGTTAGGTGTCACTAAGGTCGTTTGGTGTCATGTATCTTACTTTGGGTGTTTTTAAATATTTGGGAGAAGTCGATTGAAACGACATACTCTTGGAGAAAGAGGAGAAGGTCCCCCTTTTTTGGGTCGTCGGTTAAAAATGGGCATTCGATCCTTTAGGTGTATAAATCAGCCGCAATGATAATCATCTTTCTACCATGTTCATCATCAGTCAGTTAAATATGACCTATTATAATGTTTGTATGTTTGTGTACAGCGATGGTCGCAGGTGGTCGGTGGCGTCACTTCCATCATCAGGCTACGGGACTACTCCGGGGAGCTCTAGTCTATCTGTAAGTATAATCCTTTATCCTTATTTATAAGTAGCTCCTGCTATCGTTTTTTTTTCTTCTCTTATAATATCTTCTGATTCACTTCTTGCGGGAACCAAGACAGTTATTCATGTCCCTGGGACGCACCGGACTTCAGTGTTCCGGTGTTTTCATAGTTGTATCTACTGTAGATCCTGGCTTACAGGTGTTATAGCGGTTATGGGAGGTTGTGGCGTCCTGCTAGTTTCGCCTGCGTTTTCAAGGTACCTCATAAAAATATGAGATATTTAGGTATACTTAAATTTGGCGACAAGCAACTTTTCAGCCAAGGATACACTGGGAAACAAATGTCCTGCGACACGTGTTGCCAGCGATGTCGGGTGAGGTAGCGCGACGTTGCCGGACTTTGGTCGACATGTCAGGCAACATCAACATCATTGTGGACATAAGTTGCGCGTTGTCACCGTATCGTATATGTTTGGTGACATCGGCCGACTTCGCTCGACATATCGCCGATTTATGTCTTGGAACGTTAGTCTCTTTTGTATTTCAAATTCAAATTCATTTATTAATTGTAATGTTACCTGTACATTAGGGTCTTAAATAATGTTTTTAAACACTATGTTAGTTTTTGTCAGCATACAAAATTATAAAATCGTTGGAAACAATGATTTGGATTGATTATTATTACTTAACTCTTTGAGTACCGTCATTATAGACACAATTAAAGAACAATAGGTGTGCGGACACCGGTGTCCTCGGGGTGTTTGACAGTTAGAATTATATGTCATAAGTATCCTTGACTTGAAATAATATGAATTAGGGACCATTCATTGCAACAGCTAAGCATTAATGGTCATATAAACGAAACGTGTATACAAAACTAGCTTTTACCCGCGACTTCGCTCGCGTCACAAAAGGATAAAATACCAATACACACAGCGCCATCTATACCAATACCTTTGTTTTCCCTCGGGTATATCAAATTTTTTCGGGATAAAAAGTACCCTATTATTTAATACAGACTACTAACTTTACGTCTGCAAAAATTCAATGCAATCGGTTTAGTAGTTACGGCGTGAAGTCGGAACAAACAAACAAACAAACAAACTCACTTTCCGATTTATAATATTAGTAAGGATTTCAGCTCTTTCGGTTGAAGATATCTGTTTCAAAATTGAGTTGCAAGATTTCACTGCAAATGCGACACTACACAAATAATTTCAACTCGGGGGTCGGACCTTAACCCCTTTGGTTCGCAGTCCTGTTATTCACCCTATCCTATACTAACAGGGTAGGCTTCTATGAACCCTAAATACTTATTTGGCTTCCTTCACCCCTTTAAATACTTCCAAAAGTAAGATGTCGTAATAAGGGCAAAAAAATTAACTTTATACAAAGTATTTGATACTCTGAAATTGTACCTAGACAGAAGTCCGTGGAGAATAAGAAATCTAGTATAAAAAAATGTAAAATTTTGTCAGCATGTGTGTATATGTCTTTGTTACTGTTTCACACAAAACTAATGAATGGATTTGGTTGAAAATCGCCACAGATATAGTTTACTGGAAAGTCTATGATGACTTTTTATCTCGCAAGCGCGGCCAAACCCGCTGTTTGAAGCTGGTTCTCTCGTAACCACATGACCTAAACCTAGGTAAATATATAGTACACATAATATGCACTAATTTCTAGTGAAATGAATCACCAGCTAAAGTAATTAACGGGTGCGCCAGTGACACACAGTCACACGACGCATGCGCCGACTAAATTCGTGTTTGCAAAACATTTCCGCGAAATGTACGGAATAAAGGAATTCTTTTAGCCATTTGCTGTTTGCAAACGTTTTTGTTAATGTTACACTAATTGAGGTTTTCTCGTCCGTTTGTTTATTTGGATTTTCTTTGATTTTGTCGTTGTTTTTGAAGCTGGGTTCCGGGTCGTGGGAGAAACTGAAATATAGGGTTCTGGGTCTTGTAGGTCGTAGGAGAGATGATAAAAATAAGATTTTTGTGCTGCCATGATATTTAGGTATTACGGAATTTGAATGGTTTCCAGATTGACATGCAACAAATCTAGTCCAATAATGGTGGAATGAATGGTGGTGAGACGAGGCCTTGCTCAGCAGTGGGCATTTATAGGTTGTTGATGATGATTGATGAATGGTGGAATAATGACGAGACGCTATATGCCAGAATTCCGATGATAGCTGGCAGCAGGAGTCATTATTTATTTTATCGTTATACGTCTGTTACCTTAAAATAGGGAATAAATATTTTTACCTGGTAAAAAGCTGTACAAAAAAGTAAAACGTTGGCTGTATCATACATTATATTTTAACACGTTCTATCTGCCTTCTTTCAGAGTAAAACAAGACGTATTTCGTAAACTGTTCATATACAAATATACCAACTTCATGTTTCTAAAACTTCACTATCAAATATTACGTAACGTTATAAAATGGTTTCTTTTGGGGTGATCCGAAAACCCCTCGACGGCTTTTCTGCTCCATTGAGCGACCAATGAGTGGAGCCGGCTAGGGGTACCCTTCAAATAAGGGTTTTAATAGGGAACCCGTTTTAAGCATTTTGCATGCATTAACAGATGAAGCGTGTTTTCATTTTTTTAAATTAATTTTTTAAAGATGCGATTTTTGCTAGAAAGTGATGTTTGAGGTTTGTGCATATGGACGAAAAGATTAATTATAATTAAATCACACGGATGTAGCTAGTTCATGGTATAGGTATGTGAAGCGAATCCGCGAAAAACAACTAACTGATAAGATATTGACGCTACAAAAGTACAAACCAACACACTTGTATGTACAAAAATAAAATATAAATTATCATCAGGTGCACATTTCTTGCCAAAAATATAAATCAAGCATAAACAACGTAATCTAGACTTTAGATCGTAGAGATAAAGTCTATTATCATCTTAACAGAGATATGTCAACTGTCTGAAAGATTTCCAAGTGTTTCGAAATAGTTGTTGATCAATAAATATGTAGTCAGCAGTACATTATGTTATACCAAATAATTTTTTCAAACAAATAATTTTTTTTTTAATTTTCGTAGACTTCAGATACACATAGCACACTTTTTCCTAGTTATATTATTAGTCCTATACACAATCACATCACATCAACGTCCTATAAGTACCCACTGCTCGTGATACACGCTGACAAAGGCCTGTTCTCACACGGAGAAGGTTTGACCATTAATCACCACGCTTGCTCAATGCGGACTGGCGATAACAAACTTATGATTAGAATTATAAGTTCAGTGCCTTTAGTCAAACGCCACTATAGCGCTTGTCTACAGAGTAGAAATCAAAATGTATGGGGGTAACACTGACAAGTGTCAAAATTTACGTCAATTCCATATAATTTGGTTTTCTATTCTACATGTAGACAAGCGCTAAATGGCATTTGGCGACAGTTACAGATTTCCTCACGATGTTTTCCTTCACCGTTTGTTAGTGATGTCTAAATAATCTTATACCACAATGGGTGAGCCTATTGCCAATTGCCATACACGGATAAACGGCAACAATTCCAATAACGACACGAATGCCGTTATTAGAATTTTCGAAAAAGCGGATAAGTCACTACTGAGTTGAGATGAAATACTACTTAAGAATGAAGGTAAACAAGTAAAAATCAATTAGTTTTACTGTCCAAATGGTATTATGCGCTTGTCTACATTTGTCCTTTAAAAACACCATAGATGATTTGGATATTTAAATATGTCTGTGAAGATTTATTTTCGCGCAACTCTCGCACGGTTTCACTCGTTGATCGGCTCCTATTGATCATAGCGTGATGTTTCATAGCATTTAGTTTTCCTCGATAAATGCACTATCCAACAGAAAAAGAATTATTTAAATCAGACCAGTAGTTCCGGAAATTAGCGCGTTTAAGCAAGCAAGCAAACAAACAAACTCTTCAACTTTATTGTATTACAGTATAAATAAATATGTTTGAAAAGATTTATTTTCGTATAAACGACTGACCGACATATGAATTTTCGAATCGCTTTATTTATTTGTCGCTCTAGTGGTTTTATATTATTCGAAAGTTATGCTGTTTCGTAATTCTGAGCCCTATTTTATTGTTGTTAAGGTATTTATTGCGTTGCGTTTGAAATGTGTGAAGAATTCAGGGCGTTATATATAGGGATTTATAAAATTAAGTCGAGATTTTAGGGCGCCTATAGGTATTTATGTCACTGCATTTCATTCAAAGGTGCCATAACATATTTAGGAGCACAGAAATGGAGCCACTAGCGATTTTTGTTTTTTTCATTGGCTGGGCAACTGGCTGGCGCGCAACGTGTCGCGAGTTTGATCCCCGCACGGAGCAACTCTGAGTGATCCATAGATTGTTGTCTGGGTGTCATGTGTATGTGAACTTGTATGGTTGTAAACGCACCCACCACGACACAGCAGAAAATCTAAGTGTGGGGCAACGGCAAAGATTCCAATCCTACTATTATTATAAATACAGTTTGTGAGGATATGTGGATGAATACATGAACGTCGTTTTTCACTCTTTCACGAAATATTACTAGACGAATTGGGATGTTTAGTACATAGGGAATATAGCCTGTAATAATAATAACACATTGACATTTTTTTTATTTAATATGCTTTATGCAGAATTTGTACTTAAGGTGGACTTAATGCCGTAGTCATATTCTACCAGTCTGACCTTTGGGTGATGCAGAGAAGAGTAAATGATAGGTACAAGAGACATTAGATAATTTTTATCCCGGAAACGCGACAACTCGCCAGCAGAAGCTAGTTTAAAATAAAAAACAAAAGCATTGTCTCAACATAATCGCGCCCGAGTACAGCCAAAATGATTCGACCGTTAGTATTCAAACTGCGAACTGAGGAAACTCCTCCGCATACATAGTTGTTTCGAACGAAACCTTTGTTTACCAACTTTGGATTTAAACTGTCAAACACCAAGCGGTCACCGGTGACCGCGACCTATTGTTCTTTAATTGTGTCTATAAAACCGGTACTCGACGAGTTAATTGTGGTACCAGTTTTATCATGTGGAATATTTATAGCGCGTTTTGTGTAGTTTGCTGTGATATCATAAGGGTCAATTATAAAAGTGTTTATTAAGTTAGTTTTAAGCGGGCGTACAGCAAATGAAACCGAAATGCGGGATCATGGTTTCATTTGCAGCACGCCTCCTATAAATCGTAACGTGATGTTTTATAGGACTTTTTTAATGAGACAAGCTCGCTACAGCTTCCAAAACCCCTGCAACTCCTGTAAGCCAGGATCTACAGTAGATACAACCATGCAAACACCAAATTAGTGGACTATCCAACACAAGTTAAAAAATTATTGAATTTAAACCACTAGTTCCAGAGATTAGCGTTCACGGTTCAAACAAACAAACTCTTAAATCTAAGTCCTATAGCATCTAACTTTGTATTTTTTGATTAGATACTACTAAATTTTGACATATAGTCGATGTTTACAAGACAAAATTAAAAAAATATCTATTAACGTGTCATTTTAAGAAAATATCCATTTCCTTGGTTATAACGTTTCAAAATGAATACTATGAGGATGTTTTTCGGTTTACTCACGTAATTATTTAACGAGGAGAGGAACTCGACTAGTTTCAGGCCATGCTTGAGGCTCATATTCATGACTATATTAAGCATACATATAAGCATATGAATAATTGCGCGAGTAAGCCGCAAAACATAATAATTACTTTAGTCTCACGAAAGTTATAACATAAATACAATAAGTATGATTACAAATGATTTCGTGTATAAATAAAATAGAATACTTATATAATGTAGAACTTATACATAGAAGGGACGACACGGCTTAAACTACTTAAGAACTGGAATGTAGAATTAGTTTTTATGGAGGTTATTTTTTGAGATACCTTTTTTTTCTCCAAATCTATAATATAGTATAAAGTACCATGAGTGGTATTTTTTATAGTTCAATTCTAATATGGGCATGTCCTTTACATGACCATTTGAATTAGAAGTGACACAAACATGTACGTTGTTTGTCATGAAAATGTTTAGGTGTGAGCCGTGTTAAATTAAATTAATAATATGTCGTCACTCCCTTACTCCCAGAGGCCTAGAGTATGTGTGTTTGTGCACGCATAGTCTACCTGTGACCGTATTTCTTTACTGCTGTTCCCTATAGGGGTAAACAGAAGTCGAAGTGGTATTATGTTTTCGGCTTACTCACGTAAATGTTCGACGAGGAATTCGACTAGTTTCAAGCCATGCCATGCTATTCATGAGCGGCATTCCGCGTCACGACACGCGCTACTACTTGGTAGTAAACAGTCAGTAAGACTTACTTTGTAAGACAGTCGCCGCGACCGCGCACGCTGCTCATAAGGAAGAGCCCCTCTGTGACTCGAAACTAGTAGAGCTTGTCTTAGTATATTTACGTGCGTAACCGGTCATTTTTAGTTAATTATTTACAACCTTGCAAGGGGATTGGCGATTTCAAACTTATACCTAATTAGAAATTGTATGGTGTCCTTCCTCACGATGTTATTTATCTTAGACTCCTATCCTATCCTAGTCTGCCTCGTTGGCCGACTGGCCGCAAGTGCGACTGCCGGGCAAGGGGTCTAGGATTCGATTCCCGGGTCGGGCAAACTATTACTGGGTATTTCAAAAATTCTCAGTAGTACCACGGAGACTAGAATTGTGCCCGGTATATGGCAATAGGCTCACCCCCTATTACATGGGACTCATAACATAAAAATAGTGTAAAGTGGGTGTTACATTGTACAGTGGCATTAAGTGCCGCAATGTGCACCTCTGCCTACCCCTTCGGGAATAAAAAAGCGTGATGTTATATTATGTGTTATTTATCCTGCAGCGTATATCAGTGGCGTCTAAATAATATAAGAAAATATATCATATGACTTGGAAAATGTTACATTGCTAGTTGATATGAAGTTTTAAATGGTTCTGTCATATTGTTCTAGTCGCAATGCTCATCCCAGGAGAGGTTGCTCGCAGTGCAGGCGGTGTGCGAGCCGCCGCGAGCTCCGTGTCCACATTGCCATCAGCACCAGAACTCGCTCAAGTAAGTTGTGGACGATTACAGCAGATTTGGAGAGTATCTGGCCATGTCAGTCCTCTAATGGACTCCAATGGGGATGATGACAGGGTATGAAAATTAAAAATATAATTAGTCCGTAAGTTAGGTAATGAAAAAATATTAGACACGTATTTTTTTATTTTGTCGTATAATAAAACAATACTTAGATAAAACGAATCAAAGTTTAGGAGTGGGGGCTAAAACGTCATTTCTTAGTATAAAATGTACTGAGAAGTGACGTCATGCGACATTTCAAATCAATATATCTTCGAAACTATTCGTTTCTGTGAGAAAATAAAAAATACGTGTCTAATGTTTTTAAATAATCTACCAGACGGACATTAAAATAAAAATTAGTCGTCTACCCTATTGTCATTGGATAGTAATTACTCTAAGTATTGATTCTAGTTTTGAAGAGCCATAGAATTTCCATGTAGAGAGACTTTATTGCAAAAATAATGTCTGTCTTACCTATAAGTTACCTAATTCGTTTCCATAGATCACTTCAATAAATTAGTTGTTATAAGTGCGAGATAAGCACAGGATTTTCGAAATTAACCCTTACTGGAAAGGTCTTACAGACGATTCTACGATCAATGATGATTTTGACAATATTCCACATCCAATACTAATTCTACGTAATGTTTTCGTCTGCAGCAGTTCACAGGGCAGCGGCATGAACAACTGGGCGTCGTTGTCGGACAGCGGCGGCAGCGGCAACACGGCTGCGCGCGCGCCCTCGCCGCAGAGCCCCGCGCGACGCGTGCGCAGCAGAAGTTTGAGGTACATAATTAATCACCCGTTACTCACTAGCTAAAAACAGACACACTCATAAGCTTTATAATATTAAGATAGATAACTATAGATAGGATAAAGGAACAATAATTTGAATACGCATCCAAAATGCTATTTGAAAGTGCTTTCCCAAGAGGGTAAGAAGGTATAACAAAGTTTTGACTCGTGTTTGTTTATCCCGATCAGTTTCAAAACTTTCGTCTTTACGTCCTTTGGGTATAGAGTCAAAACTCCTACGGACGGAATCAAATATTTCGTCACTTATTTATAGTGTCAATCAATTGTCATTGTAATATCGTGAGACATGCCTAGGCTTGTATTAATAGAAAATAACGGCTTACTCACGTAAATTGAGAAAAACTCAACTAGTTTCAAGTAACAGTGGGACTCTTATTCATGAGAAGCGTACACGGTTATATTATTGATTCAAATAAATTATTGTTCTTTCTTTTTTCATCCATAAGTGGCCATTGCTGATCAACAGTCTCTTCTCGTACGGAGAAACTTTGAGCTTTAATCACTAAGCTTGCTCATTGCAGGTTGGCGATTTCAAACTTATAATTAGAAATTATAAGCCCAGGTTTCCTCACAATGTTTTCCTTCACCGATGCCGGGCATGTCTAAATAATGTTAAAATAATGGTAACTCGAATATAGTCACATTGGTACTTTGACGTTGATAGGTTTCGAACCCGAGTTCTTATGCGTGAGAAACGGGCGTCTTAAAACTCACGGCCACCAACGACACAGGTTTTTTTTAATTTTTATCGATTAACATTAATCTTTTGATTTCAGTTCGCCGTCCCGCACGGGTGGCGGGGGCGGGTCCAGCGGCGGCTCGGGCTCGAGGGACGACGCGGTGTCCGCCATGTCTGCGTTGTTCGCCGCCCGCTTCCCCGCCGCGCAGAAAGCTATGGATGACAAGTACGTTTACGCCTTTTTTGTGAAGATTACCTTCAAAAAGTTCCTAGATTTTGGGAAGGAAAACTAAAATCGGATTACTCACGTAGTAATTTTGACGAGGAACTCGACTAGTTTCATGAATATGAGCCTCTAGCATGGCTTGACTACGTGAGTAAGCCGAAAACATAATCATTTATTTAAAATCGGATTATTACCTATTTAAAACGGGTGGTTTTACCATCACCACTTTTTATAGAAGGATCCTCTGAATAGATCTGCATTATATTTTTTTCTTTTAAACTCTCACTAGTTAATACGTTTTTTTATTGAATATACCTACGTAATTTCAACACCACCCAAGGTACAGGGGGTTTACTTTTGAATGCAATTCCGATCGATCGAGACTGGTATTATAAAATTTCGTACTCTTGAGTCGCAACACTAGCGCCCATTGCATCCGTATTGCGTTTATCTTGAATGAACTAAATGGTATTGAGTTGGGATTTATATTCCGTACTCCAAATGCTATTTTTATAATAGGGGTTGTATAGTTTCGACATTGAATAATTATTGAGATTTTAATGGATTAAAATTGCGTTGACATTGAGATTGGTTTCAAGAGTAAGCATTCTGGTGTAATGTTAAGAATGTTTCCAGGTTACGAGCATTAATCGACGAAGTTCTAGAGTTGGACAAGAAGCCTGACCGGCCGCCCATCGAGAGATTTGTACAGAGACAGGTACGCTTAACCTTATATTATTGATTGCAAATAAGTCAACGGATCCCCTGATAGTAAGCAATGGACACCCGCAACACCAGAGGAGTTATAAATGCAATGTTTATTTTTTATTGGGGGGTTTTGGGATGGAAGGAATTGGCCTAACGTTAATTAGGGGTAATCCATATATTCTCATTCCCTTGCGGATATATGTATCTGCAAGAAAAAGGTCAAAGAAATACACTAGACGTCTAGTTATGTAATATCACTCTCTCTCCTGCCTCCCCCTTCTACTCCCTCCACCCTTTTGATACCTCGTTTCCCTACCCACCTCCCGAAATCCCTTTCCCTCTTCTTCTGCTCCTCACCCCCTCCCCCCTCTTCGCTTACCCTCTTCTTCCTTTTCTTTCCCCCTCTCCTACCCCTTTTTTTTCGTGTTCTCTCTTCTCTAAGACTCGATTCATAATATGTGAACGTTATCAGGTGTTGGAGATGGCTCGTGACTGCTTACATAAGTCGGAGTCGAAGCAAGTCACCAGCACCTATTTCTACGACATGGCGGATAGCCTGGACAGGCTACTTGCTGAGGTGAATATTTTATTGTATTCTAATTAAACGAATGAATGAATATTTTATTGTATTCTAATTAAGATTGGTGCGCTGGCTAGGCAACCGGCTGCCGTGCAACGTGTTACGGGTTCGATTCCCGCACGGAGTAACTCTGTGTGTGAAATCCACAAATTGTTGTTTCGTGTGTGGGTGTTATGTGTATGTAAACTCGTATGTTTGTAAACGCACCTACGGTACAGGAGAAAATCTTAGTGTTGGGCAATGTAAAAAACTACTGTAATTTCTTCTTGAGTTTACTCTTTAGAGAATGATGCCAGTTTTCAACAACTTCTCCTAAAGATAAAGAATCGTTTATTGTCTAAATGTGTACTTAGATATTAAGGAATTCCCAAGCTAAAACTAAGCTTTAAGTAAGGTTCATCTTTGAAAACTTCACCGACATTTTTGTTGTCACCAACCTATTGTATGTAACACCTAAAGGATAAAGAATGTTTAGGTGTTCTTTCACGTTAAGTAACTCTTGGTTATAATGGTTTTTGGGTAGTTGATGAAAGCGGCATAGTTATGCGTAAATTAACAATTTTTCATACCCTACTAGCTACTCCCACGGGGTTTTACCCGCTCTGCTTGCCTCCTGTTGATCGTAGCGTGATGTTTTATAGCCTATAGCGTTTCTCGATAAATTGGCTATCCAACACAAAAATAATTATTCAAATCGGACCAGTAATTCCGTAGATAACCGCGTTCAAACAAACAAACAAGGAAACAAACCATCAAACAAAAAATTTGTTTGATTATACAGTTTGGTAAAATATAAGAATATGTTTGTTATTAACAGACTAGAGAGAAATCAGCGGAAGCCGGGAACCAAGTAGCTCCACTAGTGACTCGACTGATACTCGCCATGGCTCGCCCGGCGCGCCTGCTCGAGTGTCTCGAGTTCGATCCCGAGCGGTTCTACCGACTGCTAGAGGCCGCTGAGGGACATGCTAAACATCAACAGGTTTGTTCTAGTTTTAACTCGTCGAGTACCGGTTTTATAGACACAATTAAAGAACAATAGGTCGCGGTCACCGGTGACCGCTTGGTGTTTGACAATTTAAATAATAATTTTTATGAACCACGTTCAAAAGCCGTCCAGCTAATCGCGAGATAGTCGAGCACAAACATACATACAGAACCTTCTTTTTTTGAAGTCGGCTAATAAATGCGTGTGAATAACCTGAATTTCATTAATGCTATGCTAATATAAGCCTTGTATTCCAGGGTATAACGACGGATATCCCGCAGTATATAATTCACAAGCTGGGCCTGTCCCGGGACCCGTTAGCTGAACTCCACGCCCCACCGCCACCCCCACCGCCACAGAATACTTCGCCTTCCAAGTAAGTATTATCTACAAGCTACTCCCACTTCTCCTTCCTCCTTCTCCCATATCTACTGTAGATCCTGGCTTACAGGAGTTGCAGAGGTTTTGGGAGGCTGTGGCGAACTTGTCTTATGAAAAAAAACTACTCCCGCGCACTTTTACTCGGTGCTCGTCTGCTATTGGTCGTAGCTTGATAGTTTATAGCCTATATTTCTCAATAAATGGACTTTCAAATAGGAAAAGAAGAATTTTAAACTTCACGATTGGCACCGTGGCGACTAGGCAACTGCCGCGCAACGTGGGGTTCGATTCCCGCATGTAAAAACTCTTTGTGTGATCCACGGATTGCTGTTCCGGGTCTGGGTGTCATGTGTATGTGAACCCTAGACTTAGGAGAAAATCCTTGCATGGAGTAATGTTTAAAATAATAATTAAATTCGAACTGAAGTAATTTAATGATTTTTCCACCTCAAAAAGGTCTATTACAAGTAAGAGGCTTTTAGAAAAGTCCTTTTTACAAAATTACGTTTTTTTTTTGTTCAGAACGCGAGGTCGTCAGTCCCCGCCCAGTGGGCAGGGCTCGAGTAACGCCCCGCCCTCCGAGAACGACTACCACGTCATCAAACTGATCTCCAACGGCGCCTACGGAGCCGTCTACCTGGTTAAACATAAGCAGACTAGGACTAGGTAACAAAAATTTTAAGGTTATTTTTTGATACCAGATTTTTTTATGGGCTAAGCCAGCAAACGAGCAGCCGGATCCCCTGATGTTAAGCACCCGGCGTTATGTATGGACGCCCGAGACACCAGAGACGTTACAAGTGCGTTGCCAGCTTTTTAGGGGCTTGGAATTTGAAGATTGTAGAGGTTTCGAGGATTAGGGAGGGGGTGATTGGACCTCCGGTAACCTCGTTCACACGATGAATCACAACGCAAGCGTTGCTTCACGTCGGTTTTCTGCTCGGCCGTGATATCATTGCGGTTGTGTCAGCTCATTCGTGCGGAGTCATGGCTCTCCCACACTTATTTCTCTTTAAATTGTTGAAAGTTATATTCTTTGAAATATAATAATAAAAAAAATATTTACGGTACCATTCTTATCCCCAGGTACGCAATGAAGAAGATAAGTAAAAATAATTTGATATTAAGAAATCAAGTGGAACAAGCGTTTGCTGAGCGAGATATCCTCAGTTTTGCTGACAATCCTTTTGTGGTGAGTGAAACCTTACAATAAATATTCAACAGTTACATAATAATTATCTAAAGATATATCTATATAATTGGGTACTTTCTTTATTCAAAAATAAATTATTTCGCCAGTTCAATAAAATTAAATATTAAAAAAATAATCACACTTTCATTAATTGATTTTATGACCAATTTCATTTTGGATTTTTCAAGCAAATTTTTAAGAAATAAGCATGCTGTTGCTGTTCAGAATACTCATTCTCGTACAAAATTAAAATTAGAAAACTGTCGTTTTTGACAGTTCGAAAAAAATGTTGAATTTGACTATTTTGCAAGTACCCAATTTTACTTATTTTCGTATTAACTTTGTACTATTACTTACAATTAACGAACATTTAAAACTCAGTATTATCTTGACCGAGTTTAAAGAAATCAAGATTGCGACCCTTTACTCAATGAGGTAGTTTTAATTTTCTTTCTTGTTAATTAACATCTATTATGCTCTTCAGGTGACAATGTACTGCTCGTTCGAGACGAAACGTCACCTGTGCTTCGTGCTAGAGTTCGTGGAGGGTGGGGACTGCGCCACCCTGCTCCGCGCCGGGCCGCTCCCCCCTGACATGGCTCGCCACTACTTCGCCGAGGCAGTGCTCGCCGTTGAGTACTTACACTCGTACGGCATCGTGCACCGGGACCTTAAGCCTGATAAGTACGTATGACAATCTATAAGGGGGAAGGGCCTTGTTCCTCCCCCCTTTCAGAGGGTACGGGGGTGATAAGTACGTATGTCACTGTAACTCTATAAAAGGGGACGGGACATCCTCCTCCCCCCTTTCGAGGGGTACGGGGGGTGGGATGTCGGTGGTGAAGATATCTATTATACGTAAAGCTAAACACTGTTTAAATGCGATATTTTGTATTTCTTTTTTATTTCATTTTATATTTGTTTTCCGAACAGAGAATTATACAAATGTGTAATCCCTTTTAAGAATGATAATTTAACATTTTAGTAAGATATATAAATTGTATTCTTACAATATTTCAGTTTGTTAATAACGGCGACCGGTCACATCAAACTGACGGATTTTGGTCTCAGTAAAATGGGATTGATGTCGTGTAAGTACAAAAAAATATTTTATTTACAAATTACTGCAAAATGAATAACATTCCAGTTTTTAAATCATAAAAATAAAACCACCTAAAAAGATTCAATCGCCAAGGTCGAAGCATTTATTCAAGTAATTTTACAACATAAAAATATATTATTTAAGTTGAAGAAAACATCCACTTTTTACCCCGTATAACAATGAAGAACCAAACACCACCAATCCATAGTATACTCAAAGAATATAGCAAGAAAGTCCTCTTTCGTTTGAATAATTAATTAATCTTATTGTCTACACATTACAGTGGCGACGAATTTATACGAAGAGTATGCGGACAGGGAGGCGAGGCAGTTCTCTGATAAACAAGTCTGTGGTACTCCCGAGTATATCGCACCTGAAGTCATACTTAGACAGGTAAGGGAAACGCATCTTTATGCATTTGTGGTTAGGGTATAATTTGTGGTGGCTTAGAGGTTAAGGCGAGTTTTTATTGAGTTATGTGTACTTTCTAAGATTACTTACGCGCGGTTTCACCCGCATTGCTCGGCTTCTATTTGTCGTAGCGTGATGTTTTATAGCCTATAATCTTCATCGATAAATGCACTATCCAATATAAAAATAATTATTTGAATCGGACTAGTAGTTCCGGAGATTTACGTGTTCAAACAAACAAACAAAGTAACAAACATAAAAACCTCTTTAACTTTGTATAATAGTATAAGATATACGATGTATGTGTTAACATGTCCAGGGTTACGGCAAGCCAGTGGACTGGTGGTCGATGGGTATAATTCTGTACGAGTTCCTGGTCGGATGCGTGCCCTTCTTCGGAGACACTCCTGAGGAGCTGTTCGCGCATACTGTCAACGGTAAATTAACATCATTATTGTTTTATGATATTACTAGCTTTTGTTTGCAACTTCATAACATCACGCCTTTTATCCCCGAAGGGGTAGGCAGAGGTGCACATTATACCACCTGTGGGGGGAGGGGGGTGTAAATCATCGTATGACTGCTCCCGCCTGGCTGTGGCGAGAGGGAGTGTCAGACTCTGGGGCGTGAGGAGGTCCGTTGCCTCACGCGCCCCGCCTCCTCCTTAGTATTATGGAGGCTAGTCTCAATTAATTCTGGGAAAATGTAATAGTTACTTAAATTATATCTATTAAAGGACATGGAGTAATGTCGGGCCCACCTCTCAATAAGAATAAGATACCCCTCTAAAATATATTTCAGACTATGAAAACTAGGCGATAATATTGTATGTTACAGATGACATCGAGTGGCCGTCGGAGGAGGACTTCCCCATCGCGGTGGAGGCGCGCGCCATCATCACGGAGCTACTGGCGCGGAACCCGCGGGACAGGCTCGGCACCGGCGGCACGCACCAGGTCAAGGTACGGCGCATCGGGGACTTACATTGCTTTATTTATTCAGTCAAAGTCAAAATCATTTATTTCAATTAGACCAGGATGGCACTTTTGAACGTCAACAATAAAAATTGTTACTAGTTGCTCATTCCAAGGTGTAGATTCCTATGGAGAAGAACGAACAAGAAACTCCATAGGTTACTCTTTTACTAGCTTCTCCCACCGGCTTCGCTCGCGTTCTCGTGGATATAAATTGGCGTATGTGTTATTCCAAATCATAATCTACTCCTGTTCCAAATTTCATTTCAATGCCTTCAGCCGTATTGGCTTGAATAATTGAAAGAAAAAGAAAGAAATAAAAAACATTTATTTGACAATTAGCACAGAAAACAAAGATTATAAAAAAATATATAAACAAATATATAAACAAAATACTAATAATAAACTTAAAAGAATAGAAATCAGAGCAAAAAACATCACAGTGTAACAAAATAATAATACTAAATGAATAATAAATACACCCAGACACATATATCCTCGCAATATTCGCATTTATAATATTAGTAGGATTATTATAAGTAAATCTACAGTTTCTGTATACATAGTATTAAAAAAACCTATTAAAAAGTCGAATTAATTAAGCAAAAATTAAATTTTAGATAGATCTTAAAGTTCCTTGCCAAAGTCTGTGTTTCCATAAATACAACTTAGATGTCTTCAAATTCCGAGTGAATAGGTCACTCATGGATAATTTTGCTAAAGAATATTGCTCTACCAGGATTCATTGTGTGTCGCGGTGCGTCTACGAACATACAAGTTCGAATAAACATAGTCGCGGAGAACCTAACGGGTAACCGGGGCTCCGGCTCGACGTGCAGGAGAAGGAACGGGGTGGTTTTTAGTCAGTAAGAGTCTGACACTCCCTCCCGCCTCACCCAGGCGGGAGCAGTCATTCGATGATTTTCCGCCCTTAAAAAAAGTTCACATAAACATCACACTGAGATCATGAACAATTTGTGGATCAAACGAAGAGTTCCTCTGTGCGGGAATCGAAACTACAACACGTGGCGCAGCAGTCATCAACTGCTGTTAACAATGGTGAAATATTATATTATAATATTTATTTTGTAACAGGAACACGTCTATTTCTGTGGCCTGGACTGGAATAACCTGCTGAGGAGGAAGGCAGAATTTATACCGCAACTGGACAACGATGAGGATACCAGTTACTTTGACAGTAAGTATCATTACACTTAAATCGTAAAGTATTTTTTTATGGCATAAGCCGGTAAATGAGCAGACGGATCATCTGATGGTAAGCAATCGGTGTCGCTCATGGATACCTGGAACACCAGAGGCGTTACAAGTCTTATGGAGATTAGGAGTTTGAGGATCGTTAGGGATTCAGGCATTGGGGAGATTGGGGAAGGGGAGGGTAATTGGACCTGCGGTAAAATTATCTTAAGAAAATAAATTTTATCCTATTACTTAAAATATCTATTATAAAGCTCAGAAGTTTTAACGCGCTAACCTCTGCAACTAATAGTTCGAATTGTAAAAATAATTAATTCATCCTCTTATCGAGAGAGGCTATAATGGGCAACCAGCAATAGTAGCCGAGTAGCGGCTAAAACTGCGCGGGAAAAGCCATTACAAGATAATATTAACTCTGAAACAGATTGATTCTAGAGATAGCTTTAGGCAAGCAACTCATGAGCGTTTTACATTTTTTTATCATCGCTGTCAGTCTATGGGCTGTGGGACGCGAGTGTGTCGCGGCGCTTCTGTTTATACAGGAGCGCCGCCCGACGCAGTGGACACAGTACTAGTGCGAGCGGTACAGTGTCGGTGTGTTGCAGCGCGCTGCGAGCGGTACAACCACAGCGAGGTGGACACGGACGAGGCGGCCGAGCCCGCCGACCCCGCCGACGACGCGGGGCTCTTCGCCGCCTTCTCCTCCACCTCGCCGCAGTGGCGCAGGCACTACCACCACTCCTGCGCGGAACACGACTCCAGGGTACGTCCTCTACCATACAATCACTGCTCCCGCCCGGGTCAGGCGAGAGTGAGTGTCAAACTCTTATTGACTTAACACCACTACGCTTCTACTCCTGTATAAAGCCGGAGCCAGGGTAATCCAGTACCGCCCTTAACCTCAGACTCTAAGGTACGTACTATTTTCATATGTTTATTGCCATGAGAGTCGCCGGTGACCGACGTTACTGAATTTACGTTCAACAATTATCTAAGCCAGGAGACGTAACAAAAAGGTATAAAAGAGGAGATTCTCAATTCAGATGGTACGTACGTATTTTTTTATGAGCAATTGAGCAGACGGATCTCATGATGGTAAGCAATCGGCGCCGCCCATAGGCACCTGGAACACTAAAGGGATTACAAGTGCGTTGTCAACCATTTAGGATTTTAGAATTAGTAAGCAATCAGCTTTGCTCATAACAACAATAGAGGAGGCACCTCAGGAGCACTTTTATAAAAAAAAAAAATACTTTTTTAAAAGGTGTATGCATCAGACCAAGTCTGCTGTTCAAAATTGATATTGGGTATGTATGTAATCATTTAATAAAAATGCATAATTTGGAGAATATCTTACCTACCACATTATTGTATGTTTAGATTTCAATAACAGTGAAGTTAAAGTAAATGTTTTTGCTTTTTTGGTGGTTAACAGTATGTTGTAGATATATTATCAGATGCCAGGTTCAATACCTGATTCTTGTTAAAATATAATTTGCTTTTTAGAGGAAAAATCTCGAAAGTAAACCGAGGTATTCAATTTTGTGTCTATGGAACACAGTTGGCTAAAATTTGATTGATATGTACTGCATATGTTCTAAACACCCTACTATGATATAAAAAATGGTAAGTCTAGTTTCAATAATAATAATACAATAGTCTAGCAGTCTTGGAACCTGTTCATCAACCGAGTTCTTCAAACAAAAGGTAACCTATATCTTAGTATATTTTCCAAAAGCTCTATAATTCTACCTATATAGAAATCACCTATAAACCTTGCCTTCATTATTATCCTATACAAAAAGTAAAATGAACGCATCCGAAAACGCAGACACTAACAGAAACGGAATTAAATGTTTTTTAATGTAACCATAGTTGTAATCAACTGTATGAATCACAATCGCTCACGCTGCTCATGAGGAAGATCCCCTCTGTGGCTCGTAGCTGATAGAGCTTTTCTAAGTATTTTTACGTGAGTAACCCGCTATTTCTAGTTAAAACAAATATTGTAACATAATTTTTGTCTGCGTTTTCGGTTACGTTTAGCGTTACGTTTACACCCTATACAGTATTGTCCTATATAGTATATAGAATTATATTATTTTTGCTTACTCTAGTTCTAGTCTGATCCTTTTCATTATAATCTTGCACTTGACTACTAAAATAATATAAAAAAATCCATCAATTTACTGATATATTATAATATGACCAAAGTTGGTTTTTTACGCGAGAATATCCTGAAATAACGCATAATAGACGTAATAATAGTGTAGGTAAATTACATACAAACATAACCTCACAGCTGTCTCCCAAGGCGGTAGGCAGAGACTACCCATTGCTACGATTCTTACATACCTCTTTCGCTTCCTCGACACGAATAATGACGAATAATTAGAAAATACACAAAAATATAATTAACACAATTAATATAATATAACATAAAATGTTATAGTAGGAAAAATCTATACAATCGCAGTTCAGAATGAACGTCATAAAAATATTATAGTCTATTGTTTTGAAGTAGGTTAAGATTAATGAATCCAAGTGGCCTAGGAAATAATCACTTTCCCGATTAGATAAAACTAGTGTGTAACAGTCATGTCTGCCTTAACTCTTACAAGCAAAGCGAGCTTGATGATTTGATGTTATTTTTTTTTTATTGTCAGTATTGAAAATCCTAAGGAAATTCCATTGAAATATTGAATTGAAAAGTGAACAATGCGAGACGAATTTCGCTTATTCTTCAATATGTAAATAAGCTTGATAAATTTAAATATTCATTTCACGGTTTTATACAGCGATCGCCACATGTATGACGATTTCGCTATTCAAAAATATAATAGAAGAGGCCTATGTCCAGCTTTTGTGGGGCTGTAGAAATGATTTCAACGCCAAGACCTATGTAAACGCATGTAACGAAACCATAGCGACATCTAACTCGATCCCAACGCCATCTAGTTGTAAAATCGGAACTAATTTGAGCACTAACTTTCTTATTGTCATTTTTTTTTAGTTTTTTTTCGGTATTCGGTTAGTACGGGTGTTGTTTGGTATGGGAAAAATATTTGCGGGATATTTATGCCGTTTTTTGGGGAATAAATTGAGAATTTATGTTGGGTTTTTAGTACTTTTTGTGTTATGTAGTTTCTATAAATAATTTGCTATAAAATAATCCTGAATTAATAATATTCTATACTTTTATGTTTAATTTTGAATATTAGGAGTTGTTAATATTAACAAACATAATAAATTAAGTACAGGAACTAACCGATAATTGTGTTTAACAATCGATTAATTTTTATACTTCGTTGGTACATTACATCTTAATCTTTTATTAATTTACATTTATTGTATAAAAACATTATTCGATATTATTATTTAATATTACGTTTCAAATTACGTGGACTATCTCCTAATATCATGCAAAATAATTTGAATTAAAAACTAATAGGTTAGTTAACAAAATATTTTATATAGCTATTTTAGAATTATAAATATTGTATACTTTTAAATGTTGTTTTTGGGTTTGATTCCCGGGTCAGGCAAACTACTAATTGGTTTAAAAAAATCTTAGTAGTAGTACGGAGTTTGGAATTGTGCCCAGTATATGGCAATAGGTTCACCCCCTATTACATAGAACTCATAACATAGTAAAAAATGTGTGCTACATTATTTATTGGCATCAAATTCCGTAATGTGCACCTCTGCCTACCCTTTCGCTTTCGGGGATAAAAGGCGTGATGTTATTTAATGTAGTATTCAACCATCACATCTCACTATTTCTCAGTAGACGTAACGCTTGAACTCTGTTTGTTTATTTGCGGTTATATCGTTAACAGAGCACGGACAGTTGGCCCGGCACCCCGGACAGTGCGGGTCCGCCAACTACACCCACTGCGCCACTGCATCACCATCCGAAATGTCCGGTGAGTGGAATTACTTCTTTAGATGTTTTTCTTAATTATTGTTAAGTGTTTTTGTGTGTTAATTAATATATTATGTTTTGTCTTGAAAGCTTATCGCAGGCTATATTGGTTGTGTATTTTTTTTAAAGTAGGTAATCTAGATTCAGCCAAGTACTACCAATATTTGTGACCACAGTCAGTGTGACCTAGTTCTTTTTTTAAAACGACTACATTTGTAATATATTCCCTCTCTATGTGTAGTGATGAGAATAAATATTTGTTCCCCAGATGGTGGGAGGTACATCTACAGCGGAGTCGTCACAGACCGACAGCGACGACGTGTCGCCCGCCGCACGACGCCGCGCCGCGCTGCGACCGCTGCACGCCACGCACGGACACACGCACGGCCCCACACACGGCCCCGCACATGGCCCGCAACATGGCCCGCAACACGGCCCGCAACACGGCCCGCAACTCGGCCCGCAACACGGCCCGCACCACTCCCTACACGCGCACCCCCTGGCTCACCCGCACCCCCACCCGCACCCCGTCCCCCATCCCCACCCCACTCCCGCGTTGTTACCCCATCCTCACCTATCTACTACTTCTACGTCAATGGCGCTTGTGCCTAGACTGTAAGTATTTGTTTTTATTTTCTAAAATTATGTCTAGTAAGACTTTAGTGATTTCATAAAGTTGACAAGAAGAAATATGTTTTAACTATCATAAATTTTGAATTACCTGTAGTTGTATTAATTATAATATGTACCTACAATTTATGAGAAATCTATTTGCTTACATCCCGAAATAGTATGTTAAACGAAACTATATTTTTTTGAATGTATAAGCTATAAAATGTACATTACTTCCCCTTATAGATCGGATATATCGAAGAAGGACGAGCCCCACAAGAGCCTTAGCCTGGACAAACCCGACCGAGCCGACCGACCCGACCGCCCGGACCGCCCCGACCGACCTGAAAAGTCGCGTCCGACTGCCATCGTCCCCAAGTCCATGCGACGCTCAGCCAGCACTTCTGGACTGTCCCTGGTTATACATCCAGGTATGTTTTGTTATTATACATTTATTTATAACACTAGCTACTTCCGCGCGGTTTCACACGCTCTGCTCAGCTCCTATTGGCCGTATCGTTCTGTTTTATAGCCTATAGCCATTCTCGATAAATGTGCTATCCAACACAAAAAGAATTATTCAAATCAGACTTGTAATTACGGAGATTAGCGCGTTCAAACAAAAAAACAAAAAAAACTTTATATAATACTACTTCCGCTTTATATAATGATGTTTAATAAATAAAATCCTCAGCTGTGTTTGTGATAAACTATGGATCTATTGAACGTATTTTCATGAGGTTTTATTTACTGGAAAACAATTACTGACAGAATTTTCTGTCAGTAATTAATAATTCTATCATTAATAAGTAAGTCTGTATGTAAGTAAAAAAGTCTGACATTTACTATTTACCACACGGCTGGGCAACAGATGCAACATACCTTTGATAAAAATTGCTGTTTTGAAAACCTAATAAACATAGGCATTTTGGGAACTAGTTACGAAATTCTGGTTTGCTAGTTGGAACCAATTTTTTAGATATATATGTAAATAGACTACAAAATAGCACTCTAATACGTTTACTTATAAAAAAATATAGATAAAACCAAAAAAATACTGAACTATCATCTCCCTCCAGCAGACGACAGTACGCTGAGTATAGGCGCCGGGTCCCCATGCGCCGGGAACACGTCCTCCACCAACTCCTCACGGGACTCCTCACCCTGTCGGGACCCACCATCGCCATTCGCTCTGCCTAGCCACTCGTGAGTATACAACTTGATGATATACTTAACTTACTTAACTATACTTAGGGTTTGTTCATAATGCCTGGATAGCTGGTATGTACCAGATACCTTATATCTTATACCCTACCTATATACCTTTTTGCACGACAGAATCTAACACAGAAAAATGATTTCCAGGTTGATCCAGTCGTCGAAGCCCCCGATAGTGGTGCGCCGCGGGCCGCGAGGTTTCGGGTTCACTATCCATACGGTGCGCGTCTACTACGGCGACACAGACTACTATACAATGCATCATCTTGTCTCGGTAAGTTTTTTTTATAAAATATACATAACTGTGATTTAATTTAGTGTTCTTATATAATCTAACGCTTGAAGATAACCGACCTACCGACCCGTCCACCAAGCATGAAGGTGTTCACAAACTCTAGAAGATTAAGTGTATATTTTAAGAATGGGAGAGCCATGCTTCGGCACAAATGGGCCGGCTCGACCGGAGTGATACCATGTTCCAGCAGAAAACTGACGTGAATCAACACTTACGTTGTGTTTCGTAACAATCCTCAAATTCCTAATCGCCAAAAGGCCGGCAACGCACTTGTAACGCCTCCTGGCGTTACATGGACATCCCACAGGCGATGCCGATTGCTTACCATCAGGTGATCCGTCTGCGTTTACCGGCTTATCCAATAAAAAGGAGGCCAATATTCTACCATTGGTATATCTCGGGTTGAGTATTGAGTATTTAATAAAGATTGACGGTGAATGAAAAAAATGTGAGGCAGATTTCCTCAGGCTTATAATTCCTAATTATAAGTATAAAATTGCCAATCCGCCATGCGTGAGTGTGGTGATTAATGCTCAAACCTTCTCCGTGTGAGAAGAGGCTTTGCTCAGCAGTGGGCACTTCTAGGCTGATGATGATGATGATATTTAGTGAATATATTGTAATTGTCCAGGCGGTGAACGAGCAGGGCGCCGCGTGGGCGGCCGGGCTGCGGGCCGGGGACCTCATCACGCAACTCAACGGGGAGTCCGTGCAGGGGCTCCTGCACACACAGGTACACTAGACATTCATTAAGTTAACACAAATAACGGTTCTAATTTCAACTAAATAAACCGTTATTTTCAAATATTGGTATTGAATTTCCTCATTTTTAATTCATTAATGAATTTTGACTTCGTTGTTTAAGCGTTTGAGCAATGTGTCTCACTTTAGATTCACGAGATGGCGAAGTATTTAGATTTCTTTTCAATACTAGTAATAGCTTGTCAAGTTTGCATTTGTACCCATTTTAGCGCAACCTTGAGACGGATATTGAACTACTCTGTTATTTAATTACAAACTAAATGTAATATATTGTTTTATGTATTATTTTATATCAGATACGCCTAAATACTGAAATGTTACTCGATTTTAAGTTGTATTTAAATATCGTATTATTTTTCAATGTTTGTAGAGACAGAACTATACTTAAGCATGACTTAAACTTGAGTGGCGTTATATTATTTGCACATAAATAAATGGTTTTCTTTCTGTAATAATTGTTTCTACGTGTTTGTCCAGGTTCTCCGATTGCTACTGGCCGCTCCCCACGCCACGCTGCGGGCGACACCGCTCGACCAAACCACTATACAGGTAAGATCGTACTAGACATTGTAGAACATACTTTTTTTAAAAAGAGTAACGAATGGAGTTTCTTGCTTGTTCTTCTCCTTTCGAATCTACATTTTGAAATGAGCACCTAGCTTTACTGACGGACTGACTGACAGACTATTATTTATTTTGTATTTTTTGACGTTTCAAAAGTACCAAATTATGGTTTAATTGATATAAATGCTTTGACTTTGACTATAGGTATTCCAGGCATTTTCCTCAGTAAAAAACTAGATTATTTTAAATTTTTCAATAAGGACGCGAAAATGTTTCAGATGAGTTATACTTTCATTTATTAATTTTACGATGTAGCTACTGCGTTTTAAATTTTTCTAGCCTATTTTAAAGAAATAAGTATGGTATTTGAAGCAAAAATATGATTACGTCATAAGTTACGATCTCGTGATTCGTGAAGCTATTTGACGCAAGATATTATGACGTCTTAAGTTGTATGTTGCGTATCCGTATTTCGTTTATCAAAGAATGAATGAATGAGGTTGTAAATAAGACTAACTATAACTTTCTTGCTCGTTCCTTTTCATATTCGAATCTACAGTTTGGGACGCGTTCTTTTGAACGAATGAACTTTTCTTTTTTGTCCCCAAGAGTTAGTTGGTTCCCAACTGCTTTTGGAAAAGGAATGAAGGAATGTTTCAATTGAAATAGATGACGACGTTGACTTTAAAAAGTCTTACGCGGTACCCACGCTAGAACGGCGCGTCCTGCGTCTGCGATGTGCGGGAGACAAACAATGGTACGTGTTGAACGGTCGAGGCCAGGTGGGTGCGCCTAGTGGCCGCCGGTCGAGGCCAGGTGGGTGCGCCTAGTGGCCGCCGGTCGAGGCCAGGTGGGTGCGCCTAGTGGCCGCCGGTCGAGGCCAGGTGGGTGCGCCTAGTGGCCGCCGGTCGAGGCCAGGTGGGTGCGCCTAGTGGCCGCCGGTCGAGGCCAGGTGGGTGCGCCTAGTGGCCGCCGGTCGAGGCCAGGTGGGTGCGCCTAGTGGCCGCCGGTCGAGGCCAGGTGGGTGCGCCTAGTGGCCGCCGGTCGAGGCCAGGTGGGTGCGCCTAGTGGCCGCCGGTCGAGGCCAGGTGGGTGCGCCTAGTGGCCGCCGGTCGAGGCCAGGTGGGTGCGCCTAGTGGCCGCCGGTCGAGGCCAGGTGGGTGCGCCTAGTGGCCGCCGGTCGAGGCCAGGTGGGTGCGCCTAGTGGCCGCCGGTCGAGGCCAGGTGGGTGCGCCTAGTGGCCGCCGGTCGAGGCCAGGTGGGTGCGCCTAGTGGCCGCCGGTCGAGGCCAGGTGGGTGCGCCTAGTGGCCGCCGGTCGAGGCCAGGTGGGTGCGCCTAGTGGCCGCCGGTCGAGGCCAGGTGGGTGCGCCTAGTGGCCGCCGGTCGAGGCCAGGTGGGTGCGCCTAGTGGCCGCCGGTCGAGGCCAGGTGGGTGCGCCTAGTGGCCGCCGGTCGAGGCCAGGTGGGTGCGCCTAGTGGCCGCCGGTCGAGGCCAGGTGGGTGCGCCTAGTGGCCGCCGGTCGAGGCCAGGTGGGTGCGCCTAGTGGCCGCCGGTCGAGCCGCCTCATTCCCGCTCATGGCACGCAGGACGCGCCGCGCTAGCGTGGGATTGCGATAATCTTCTTTAATGTTATTTCTTAGCTTGATACAAACAAACTCTACAGCTTTGTATTTTAGTATAAAAGTATAAGATTTACTGAATATGGCACCCCCCCCCCCCAGGCGGGCGGTCGCCGGCGAGCATGGTGCGGTCGTCGTGCGACAGCCCCCCCCCGGCCGCGGCCCCGCCGCCGGTGCTCGCTGTTCCGGAGGATCTCCACCAAGCGGGCCTCGCAGGAGATGCACCAGGTATGTATAGCTACTCTACAAGTGTCTTATGCACGGCATAAGTACGTCGTTTGCGGAAGATTTGCCTTTAGCACTTCTCTACCGATAGTCAGGGACCTTAAATAACCGTATTTTAAACCTATCAATCTATTCAATGTCAATATTCAAATATTCAAAATTTAAATCTATTCAATGTCTCATGAAACTAATTATTTTTTTGATATAAGGTAAGAATTTTTATTGTCTTGACACCGTTCGCAAAAGCGGGTGAAATTCGGTACAGAAACTAATTCACAATAAATCCTATATATAAAAATGTGTATATTCCCAGATGGTGTCATCGGGGGAGTGCGTGTCGTCCCCGTCCCCCGCGCCCGCGTCCCCCGCCGCCGACAGTCCGCTCCACACCACCACCACCACGCACTACCAACGGTACTCATATACCATATACATGAGCAGCGTAGCAACTGAATTAGATTGATTAGAATTGACAGTGAACTACTCTCATGACGAAACTGTTATTGTTCATTAATATAAAACTTATTTAAGTTGGCAATACACGTTCGGGTTTGTTGTTTTAAAAACAACGAAATTTGTTTCCTCAGGCCGTCATCCCTCCACGGGTTGAAGCACAAGTTAGTAGCAGGGGGTGCAGTAGGCGCAGTGGGCGGAGGGGGAGAGGTCCGACGGGCCTCCCTGCAACACATGCCCCTCTCCCCCCTCGCACGTACCCCTTCCCCCTCGCCGCAACCACAACCGGCCTCGCCTACTAGGTAAGAAAAGATTTTTATTATTTTAAAACATACTAATTAGGTGTTAAGTAAAACAAGAGACTTTAAATATACTAGTCAAATAGAATCAAAAAATAAAAGAGTATCAAAAGCATACATAAAATACGTCCATAATAATAAATATAATCATATCAGTTTTTAACGATTAAAAAAGAGAAACGATTTAGTCGTTTAATGACGAATGAAGAAACGATGGATTGGTCAAAGTAGGCTTGGCCATTTTTGATGATTTAAATAAAAAGCATCCTCAATCGGGCTTACATGAAGATATTAAACAATCGACATATATCAGTTTTTCTAGTTAAAATTCACTTTCAACTTAACTTCTTTTACCTGAGTAGAAAAATAAAAAAAAAATGTTTTTTAATGAATTGAAACTCACCAGGACTTGAATCAACTACCTAATTCTGGAGAAACCACAAAAACATAACGACATTAGAATTTTATGTTACAATAGACTTTAGTAAATACTTAAAAAGTGTTAGAAAAGTCATAAATATGCTCATTCATACATTGTCTATGTCACAAGCTGTCTCATGGGATTGTTTGTCTATGTCTATGCAATGCCTCTATTGTCTATGTGCATGTGAAATTGAAAAACTACATGTATACATTATATTCATATCTTTGTGTAACTCAAAATATGTATAATCTTTATAAAATTGCTGAATTTCATATTTTTTAAGTGTTCAGTAAAAATATTTCATTGCTCGGGTTTGGGTGCGTGTCCTATCGAGAAATGTTCTTTATTTAAATTATTAACTTTACAGAAAACTTTGTAAGACCTTCTTTCATACAAAAAAGGTCAATATAGAAATATCTATACAACGATTTCACACACATTAACATTCCAATGTGTAGTTACAATAATTTAACAAATCACGCATTCTAATATAATAAACCACTTTTCAATTGAAATCTCGTATCCAAAAATTAATCATGTTTTGTATCTAACTCTCACAATCATGACAATCGTTCACACCACCATGTAACCTCCATTTCACCAGCCGATGTGAAGCGCGAAGCCCCTCCCCCTTGGCTGTGCGGGACTGCGCAGGAGTGGGGGGCGTGGCCGGGGGACGGAGGGCGTGGCCTCGCAGAGACCCCGCCTCCCCACTGCTTAGAAGAGCTCTATCGCCTGACAGGTATTGGAATCATTCATTTAAAGTATTGTTTTGGTGTTGAAACGGTAAGAATAGCAGTTGTAGTTGCAGTATGTCCGAAATTAACGATAAATCTTAATCTGGATGGAATCCCCAATCGTCAAGTCCCTTACCCTAAAAGGGCAGTAACGCAGTTGTAATTCCTTTAGTGTTACGAGTGTCCATTGACGCCGCCGATTGCTTACCATCAAGTACGCGTACGAGCAGATGAATCATTATCCTCGTTTGCAGACTGACTCACTAGTAGTTGAATTCAAATCTCGACAGCATGTTTTCGGGCATTCAGCATGTACCTAAGTGTAGTTTCAAATTGTTCTCGGCACACAATTTGACAGTATTTGGATTTCCATATTAAGGTCCTGTGTGTAAGTATATAGCTGTGTTTCTATGCATGTGTTTGTGTGCTTAAATGCATTGTGTTTGTGTATCTCGTGCTTACTTCATTCGATGTTGTCAATTTGAAATTTCATATTTTCATATCACATTCTCAGTTTATTTCGATGTTTCAGTACTTTTTAGCGTGTATAGTTGTATGTTTGGTCAATATTAATAATAGGTTCTCAGGTCTGTAACTTTATTGTATTAAATGGCATTAAAAGAAATACCAATAGTCATAAATATTATAATATAATAACTAAATACTTTCCCCAACAGACTACACCCCCGCTCGGCGGAGTCCAAGTGCTCGATATCTCCACTGTGCTGCGGCGGCGCGGGTGGCGCGGGCAGTGCGGCGGGCGCGGGCGGCGGGGCACCAGCCGCGCGGGGCGGAGCGCCGGCCGCGCGGCGCGCCGTGGTGTGGCGGGCGGCCGCGCCCGCGCCGCCGACGCCGACGCCGCCGCCGGCCGACAAACTGGACGATGCGCCCGCGCCGCTGCCCAGGATCGCAGAGGAAAAGGACTCGCCCACACATCATGCTAGGAACTTGCCTAACAGGTAATGTTGAGAGACGGTATTTAATACATACTTAATCCCTTAAATCTTTGCAAATTAGATTTTACTTTTTAATCAATATTATTAGTCTGCACCTGTACAACTTTTAATAAGTATATAATTACAAACGATATAGTATTATATGACATAGTATTGAAACATGTAATTTTAGAGTATTTTAAATAAATATATGGCATACTAAAATATGTAATATATCCTGACTAAACTCACCGATACCCCGTAACCCTGTCTCCCGCCCCCCAGGACCCCCGCCAAGCAGCCGGCCCCCAGTATCTTCACGTCGTCCCCCAAGCCGAGCCTGGACAAGTCCACATTCGACACGTCTGCCTCGTTCGCCTCGCTGTCACTGTCCGACGAGTCGTTCATTGACACGTCCGCTGATCTCTCCCTCCTGGACACGTCACGAGAGGTTTATTTGGGTAAGTGTATAATTTAGACGTCGAGGCTCTGTGTTTGATAAGAAAGAAGAAAAAGCTTTTATTTGACAGTATGATTAAGTTTTTGGAGTTTGAAATTAGATAAATGAAAACTGTAATGTGAAAAAGTCAACTATAGTCGGAATTTTAATTCGATTCCAGATTTGACAATTTCAGTGTGGCAACGTTATGACAAGTACTAAATAGTGACGTTGCGAAATTATTCGATATGGAAATGCAATATTTCTGGATCGATTCTTCTCGTTTATAATAATTATAATTTTACTCTCGTGAACTAAGTATATCAGGAAATTAAATATTTCTGAACCGATAATTTAGTTTTGACGATTAATTAACGATCTGAGAGGTTTCTTGTATAATTGTGTGTGAAATAAAAAATAAATGTAATCATGAAGGAACATGACAAATAAAACAAATAGATGTATTATGGTAATAAGTTATTTTATAAATTGTCGCCGTCATCGCTATCGCTATCCTGTCACTTTCTGTAACATTTATTATAAATCACACACACTGATTGTTTATCGATTTTGTGTGCATCACTACACTATTATATGTGGTATCATTATTTCACAAAATGACAGTAGCTATTGTCAAATCTGGAATCTAATTAAAATTCTGACTATAGTAAAATTTTATACTTTTATCGATACTTCAAAAACGATACTTTTCTTTGAATTTTGTATGACATACTAACTTAGGATGTCATCATATTTAAGCGTCGAATAGCTGACTTATTTCTAAAAAAATAATTAAAATAATTCAAAATTAGATATGTCGTGAAATCAAAGTATGATATTTTTTTTAATATTTATTTGTATTGAAAAACTACGAAATATTGCCCTAATCTAGATTTTTATAATAAATATCGCCCTAATCTAGATTTTTATAATAAATATCGCCAGACAAACTAAATTAACTAAAAATCGCGGGTTACAAGATAGCTTTAGCTAAGATTTAATTTGAGTTATGGATGCCGTAGTGTGAAATTCACGTATTAGAAATATACTCTACTTAGCTATCCGTACCTAAAAAAACTTTTATATCTTACAGATGACAGCCGAACAAGCACAGACGCGAGCATAATTATCGAAGAAAAACCGAAAAAAATTACAATACCAGAACCACCAGTAGAAGTACAGCCAAAAGCCAGAAAGAAATCAGACTCCAGCCTTAAGGACGAAGACTTGAAGGCAAAGGACAAACAAAAAACGAAGCCAGAGAAACCGGAATTAAAAAAACAAGATTCCATATCTAGAATGGAGGAAAAGATGGACTATGCTGCCGTTTTAAAAGAAGACAAGTCCAAAGAAAAAGTCATGGAGAGGACTGGTTCTGTGAAAAAGGTTGAGAAACAAGAGAAAGAGAAGAAAGTGGAGAAAGAGAAGAAACAGGAGAAGATTGAAGCGAAGAGGAGTGAGTCTGTTAAG